TTGGGAATGGGGAAAGTAGTGTCATTTCTTGAAGTGTCTACTGTGATGTTCTGATTGGACAAATCAAATGAACAAAAAGAAAAAATCAGGAAACAGAGAAACGCACACATGCAAGAGATTAGCAACTGTTTATAATCTCGACACACGTAGGCAGTACTTAAGTTGATGAGAGTGAGATCACGTATGGCAATAACTGAATTACTCAGAGGTTAGGCATGGCTTCCATAGGTTTCGCTGTTCATGCGTTTAAAGAAATGGTACCAAGAGGTGGCTGAAATTTGAAAGAGGAAATCAAAAGTGATTTACCAATTTTTCCTTTGTCCTAATAAGATCCTTGAACAGCGTTAAATTGAACGTATTAGTCTTATTGATTCCTTCTAACGAAACATAAAACCATCTGGTGGAGCACATCTTCACATAAATGACCATTCCTTCTTCAATGAACTCATCCTTTGAAACAAAACGAGGCTTGGTACATCCTCCGTCAGAGGTAGCATTACAAAAGGTGTCTTTTTGAAGCTCTTCTAATTTCCAGAGTCTACTTATATCGGAAAGTTTATTGTCTTCATGCGGTTCACACGATCCCAGGTTAATGCGATTGTTTCGGGGATTCCTGTTGCTTGTTGAAACCGCAATATCGGCTTGACCAACTGTTGTCTTTAGAAATAGGGTTTTGATTCTCGTCTTGTTGAATAAGTCGTATTTGAAATATCTTACTGCATTTTCGTTTACACTTGAACCAACTTCTTTTCCTTCATCGAGCAATGCGGGCTCTGATCATGAAAAGCAAAAAATAAAATGATTGGAAATGAGAAATGCTAGTGATCTGAAGTGTTTGACAATGCTGTTACTTCTAAGTTCTAGATGAAGGAATTAATATGAAAGAATACCTGAGACTGAGATATAATTACGTCGTAAATATTTCAGGGATATCCTGTTTGCAATGCACAACTCACGGAACAGGAAACGCGAGGAATTTATGAAGCATTACACAGTTCAGGATAGAGCAGTTTACAGCTGTTACGAGAGAGGTTGTTGGAAATGAGGGCAAAAGTGCAAGCGGCAATCTTGAAAGATAAATTGGCTATCCAGTAATCGATGACTTTTAACACATATCGATAAATAAATTAAGCAAACCTAAGATGCCTCGTCGTTACAGCAACATTTTCCCAAATTTCCTTGAAATCCTGAGGTTCAGGAACTGTGACCTGAAAACTACCCAAATAACTTTCGGGATAATCGTGTTCACTTTTACGCTTTTTTTCCTTTTTCGAAAAAGCTGTTTACTGCACTTAACATGCTCCACAACATGCTGTGTACTATTATAGCGTAAATAAAAATGAATCACCGTAGCATGAGGCTTCTTGAATGTTTTCTACCAAAGTGTTTATCTCTTCAAAGGACTTGGGAAGAATCACATGATCAGAGTCAGGATCACTAGCAATAATGTCTAACTCATCCTTGTTTATATTTGGGCCGATCCCTATCACAAAGATGTTAACTCCTTCATTTCGGAGTAAGTTAGAGGGCTGGATGATGCTGTCCGTTCCTGAGGCAGTTCTTCCGTCGGTGAGAAGAACAAGCACTCTTGGCACACCTAATTCTTTGGGTCTCACACCATTGTCGGGGTTTTCAAACAGCTTTGTGTAAGCTTCTGAGAGTGCTAAGTCAGTGCGTGTGCCACCACCTTGATATTGTATTACTGCTATTGCATTAAGGACGTCTTGCTTTCTTATGAAGGTGTTAAAGTGAAATATTATCGTTGGAGAGTTGGTGTATGTGATAACAGCCACTCGAGTGCCAAGAGGGTAAGAGATGTCGAAATACTGGCACACCTTTATGATAAACTGGAGTCCAATTTGAAAATTTGTGGGGTTGACGCTACCAGAAGAATCCAATACAAACACCAAATCGATTGCATTTTGACAATCTAAGAGAAAAGAAGAAAATTATACAAAATTGGAGAGTTTTTAGATTCTATGCTTCCTTCCTCTCTGTTTCTGACATGTACATATATTTTAAAGCACACTCAGTCGAGTACAGCTATACACTAAGGATCGGGGCCATAAAATAAATGCTTGTATCCTGATTCAAAGAGAAGATTTTTTACTTAAAGTTCTCTTGAATTCAATGAAACTTGACTAACAAATTACCGAGGGGATGGGAGAATCCGGGTCACTGCTGTGCACGTAATTTCTGTGCCGTAAGGGAAAAGATTACCTTTTTCCACTGTGTGGTTCTAGTATTTTCTTTCAAAAACAAAGCGGTATTGAGGGCCTAAAGACATGCAAGATGGCATTACGTTGTGGCGCATTCTCGATACGCGAGAGGTATATCACTTGATATCAATATTGCTATAATATGGCTATAAAATTATGTAAATCATCATTACCAAGACAGCAGGTGATAGGCGA